GTGTGTGTGTGTGTGTGTGTGTGTGTGTGTGTATTTATTCACAGATAGGAGGGGAGTTTGTTCGTGCTAGAGTATAGAGTACACCTGGATTCTTGTGACTCATTTATGACTCATTTCTACTTCTCCAGTTCAGTCTCTCCTGTACCCAACATCTCAAAAAGAATGCACAGAGGAGGAAGAATTTGTTAATGGCTTCCTGACAAGCTGGTTACCAGTGAGTCATATGTTTCTTTTTCTAAATCATTATTTTTGGGGGCCAAAAGTTGAACTTTTTACCTTGCAATGACCTGGAGCCTCACAGCCAAACCAGATCTTTAGGCATCCAGGATCTCTGGGCATTTGATGGAGGGTGAGGGGCTGCCCAAACAAGGTCAGTATATATCAGTATTTACTACATGGCTAAGTTTCCTGTAGGGTCACTCTCTGCTTCATGTTATGCTGATACTTTTTAAGAAGTCACTAAGGAAAGACATGACTGTTTCCTCAAGTCAAGCAATTGATGGTGGCTATTAGAAAATCATTCATACATTTCTTGATTTCTGCAGTGTCCCAGGCCTGTGTTCAACCTCTGAGATTGAGGGCTGAGCCCAGAACTCTGATGTACAAAATGCACCTCCTGCTTTGGATTCCCTGTCCCTCTTTTGTGTCTGGCTTCTTTCAGACAGTATAATGTATAAAGGTTTGGCTGTGTTATAGCATGTGTTTTTTCCTATATAACCTCAGTGGGGGTAGTCCTTGGTTAAGCCATAATGTTTTTGATGATTTTAGGACATGGTGACCTTTGAGGATGTGGCCGTGGAGTTTACCCAAGAAGAGTGGGCATTGCTGGGCCCTTCTCAAAAAACACTATACAAAGATGTGATGCTGGAGAACTGCAGGAACCTGGCATCGCTTGGTAAGCCTGACATCATTCCTTCATTTATTTTATGACTCAGGTAATAAGTGTTTTTTTTTATTGAGGTAGCTTTCATATAACATAAAATTTACTATCTTAACCATTTATTTGTTTTGGGGGGTTTTTTTTTGGTTAATCCTCACTTGAGGGTATTTTTTCCATTGATTTTTTTTTTTTTTTAGAGCAAGTGGAAAGGAGGGAAGGAGAGAGAGAGAAAAACATTGTTGTGAGCAAGACACATAGATTAGATGCCTCCTGCAAGAGCCCCGACCAGGGATTGAACCTGCAACTCTGGTACATGCCCTTGACTGGGAATTGAACTCACAACCCTTTGGTCCAAGAGCTGACACTCCAACCACTGAGCCAAACCGGCCAGGGCATATCTTAATCATTTTAAAGTGTACAATTCAGTGGCTTTGATGTATTCACAATGTTGTGCAACCATCAGCACTATCTAATTTCAGAACATTCTCATCACCACTAAAAGAAACTCAAACCCATTTAGTGGTCAATACCCATTACAGTCCCCATTTCCAACTGTTGGCAGTCACTAATTTGCTTTCATCTCTGTGAATTTGCCTATTTTAGAACATTTCATATCATTGGATCATAAAATATGTGATCTTTTGTGTCTGGCTTCTTTCAGACAATATAATATATAATATATAATATATAAAGGTTTGGCTGTGTTATAGCATGTATCTTTATTCCTTTTTACAACCGAATAATATTTCATTTTGTGGATATACCTTTTTTGTTTACCCATTCAGTGATTGATAAACATTTGGGTTGTTTCCTTAAATAACCCTGCTATGTGTTTTTGTATATAAGTCTTTATTTAAACCTCTGTTTTCAGTTCTTGGGTATGTATCTAGGAATGGAATGCTGGGTCGTGTATTACTATGTTTAGCGTTTTAAGAAATGCCCAAACTGTTTCCCCAGCTTCTGCACCAATATATGAAGGTTCAGATTTCTCCACATCTTCCCCAATGTTTTTTATTATTATAGCCATTCATGTGGGTAAGAAGTGATATCTTGTTTTGATTTGCAGTTTCATCATGACTGATGACCTTGAGCATTTTTCCATGTACTTGTTGACTATTTGTATATCTTCTTTAGAGAAATGTCTATTCATAAAGTCCTTTGCCCATTTTTTAATTTGGTTGTTTATCTTTTTGTTCTTGGGTTGTAAAAGTTCATCATATATTCTGATTACTATGCCCTTATTCAAAATATGATTTGCAAATAATTTCTCCCATTCTATGGTGTCTTTCCATTTTCTTTTTGTAATTTTTTTAATTTAAGTATAGTTGGTATACAATATCATACTGGTTATATTCGTTTCAGGTGTACAATATAATGATTCAATAATTTTATACCTTACAGTGTGATCACCCCATTAATTCTAGTAATCATCTGTCACCATGCAAACCTATCAGAATATTATTGACTATATTCCCCTTTTCCATCCATCCCCTCACCCTCTCCCTTCTGGTAACCATCCCTTTGGTCTCTTGTTTCTATGATTCTATTTTTTTGTTTCATTTGTTCCTGGAATTCCACGTGTAATTACACTTACACGTGGAATCTGTTTTTTAGATTCCACGTGTAAGTGTAACCATATGGTATTTGTCTTTCTCTGCCTGACTTATTTCATTTCACATAATACCCTCTAGATCCATCCTGTTGTCACAAATGGCAAGGTTTCATTCTTTTTCATTGCTTTCTAATATTCCATTGTATATATGTACCTCATCTTCCTTATCCGTTCATCTATTGATGGACACCTATGCTGCTTCCATACCTTGACTATTGTAAATAATGCTGTAATGAACATAGGGGTCCATATATCGTTTCAAATTAGTGTTTTTGTTTTCTTTGGATAAATACCCAGAAGTGGAATTGCTGGGTTATAGGGTAGTTCTATTTTTAGATTTTTGAGGAACCTCCATACTGTTTTCCATAGAGGCTGCATCAGTTTGCAGTCCCACCAAGTGCACAAAAGGGTTCACTTTTCTCCACATCCTCACTAAACTTATTTGCTGATTTATTGATGATAGCCCTTCTGACATGTATGAAGTGATATCTCATTGTGGTTTTCATTTGCATTTCTCTTATGATTAGTGACATTGAGCATCTTTTCATGTGTCTCCTAGCCATCTGAGTGTCCTCTTTACAGAAGTGTCTTTTCAGGTTCTTTGCCCATTCTTTAACTGGATTGTTTGGTTTTTTGGTGTTGGGTTGTATGAGTTGTTTATGAATTCTGTATATTAACCCCTTATCAGATGTATCATTGGCAAATATGTTCTCCCATTCAGTGGGTTTTTTCATTTTGTTGATGGTTTCCTTTGCCGTGCAAAAACTTTTAGTCTGATGAAGTCCTGTTTGTTTATTGTTTTTCTTTTGTTTCCCTTACCTGAGGAGATGTGTCAGAAAAAATATTGCTATAAGGCATGTCTGAGATTTTACCGAGATGTTTTCTTCAAAAATTTTTATGGTTTTGAGTCTTACATTTAAATCTTTAATCCATTTTGAGTTTATTCTTGTGTGAGAAGGTGATCTAGTTTCATTTCTTTGCGTGTTTCCTTCCAATTTTCCCAACAACATTTATTGAATAGACTGTCTTTACCCCATTCTATGTTCTTGCCTCCTAAGTCAAATATTAACTGACCATATAGGCATGGGTTTATTTCTTGGCTCTCTATTCTGTTTCATTGATCTATGTGTCTGTTTTTATGCCAGTACCATGCTGTTTTGATTACTATAGCCTTGTAGTATAGTTTGATATCAGATAATGCGATATCTCTAGCTTTGTTCTTCTTTTTCAAGATTGCTGTGGCTGTTCAGGGGTCTTTTGTGGTTCCGTGTAAAATTTTGGATTATTTATTGTAGTTCTGTGAAATATGCCATTGGTATTTTGATAGGAATTGTGTTGAATCTATAGATTGCTTTAGGTAGTATGCACATTTTAACCATGTAAATTCTTTCTTTCCATGAGCACAATATGTGCTTCCATTTATTTGTATCTTCTTCAGTTACTTTCTTCAGTGTTTTGAAATTTACTGAGTACAGGTCTTTTACCTCCTTGGTTAAATTTATTCCTAGGTTGTTGTTTTTTTAATGCAATTGTAAATGGGATTGTTTTCTTAGTTTCCCTTTATGATTGTCCATTATTGGAGTATAAAAATGCCACAACGACCCAGCAATCCCTCTCCTGGGTACATACCTGAAAAACTCAAAAACATTTATTTGCAAAGATATATGCACCCCTATGTTCACTGCAGCATTATTCACGGTGCCAAGACATGGAGACAACCAACGTGTCCTGCGATAGAGAACTGGATGAAGAAAATGTGGTACATGTACAGAATGGAATACTACTCAGCCATAAGAAAGGATGAAATACTGCCATTTGTGACAACTGCCATTTGAGAATATTATGCTGTGAAATAAGTCAGTCAGAAAAAGCTAAGAACCAAATGACTTCACTCATATGTGGGATATAAAACTGAAACTCGTGGACACAAACAGTAGTGTGGTGGTTACCAGAGGGAAGAGGGTGGGGGTGAAGGGGGTCTTAATAATATATGGTGATGGGAGAAGATATGACTTTGGGTAGTGGGTACCCAGAGCAATATACATATCTTGTAACATAGAAACCCACACCAGAAATCTATATGTTCATATTAACCATTGTCACACCAATAAATTTAATAAAGGTGGGTTTTTTTTAATGCTACAGATTTCTGGATATTTATTTTGTATCATGCTACTTTAGTGAATTCATTTATTCTAGTAGTTTTTTGGTGGAATCTTTTGGGTTTTCTATATACAGTTATCTTGTCATCTGCAAATAATGACAGTTTTACTTCTTTCCAGTTTGGATGCCTTTTATTTCTTCTTTTCTGATTGCTTGGGTAGGACTTCCAGTACTATGTTGAGTAAGAGTGGTGAAAATGTCTTGTTCCTGATCTTAAGGGGAACACTTTTAGTATTTCCCCAGTGAGTACAATGTTAGCTGTGGGTTTGTCATATATGGCCTTTACATTGTTGAGATATGTACCCTCTATTCCCACTTTGCTGAGAGTTTTTATGATAAACGCATCTTGGATTTTGTCAGATGCTTTGCAGCATCTATTGATAGGATCATGAGTCTTACCCTTCATTCTCTTTATGTGGTGTATCACGTTAATTGATTTGTGGATATTATATCAGACTTGCATCCCAGGAATAAATCCCACTTGATCATGGTGCATGATCTTTTTAATGTATTGCTGGATCCGTTTTGCTAATATTTTGTTGAATACTTTTGCATCCATTTTCATCAGGTATATTAACCTATCATTTTCTTTCTTTGTAGTGTCTTTATTTGTTTTGGAATTATGATAATGCTGGCTTGTAAAATGAGCTTTCCCAAATGAATCTTCCCGCCTCTTGAATTTTTTGGAATAGTTTGAGAAGGATAGGTGTTAGTTCTTTGAATGTTTGGTAAAATTCACCTGTGAAGCCCTGACTGGTGTGGCTTGGTAGGTTGGGCTTCATCCTGTGCACCAGGAGGTTGCCGGATCATTCCCGGTCAGGACATGTGCCCTGGTTTCGGGCTCAATCCCTGGTGCAGGGTGTGCAGGAGGCAGCCGATCAATGTTGCACCTTCACATCGATGTTTCTCTCTCTCCCTCTCCCTTCCTGTCTTTCTAAAAATCAATAAACTATTTTTTTTTAAACTCACCTGTGAAGCCATCCAGTCCAGGACTTTTGTTTGTTGGAAGGTTTTTTTTATTACTGCTTTGATTTCATTAGTTGTAATTGGTCTGTTCAGACTTTGTTTCTTTTTGTTGTTAATCCTCACCCAAGGATATTTTTTCCATTGATTTTTTAAGAGAGTGGAAGCAAGGGGGGGAGAGAGAAACATCAATGTAAGAGAAACACATTGGTTGCCTCCCGAACACGCCCCAACTGGGACTGGAGATTGAACCTGCAACCCAAGTATATGTCCTTGACCAGGAATGGAACCCGAGATCCTTTGGTGAGAGGGCCAACACTAACCACTGGGCAACCACCGGCCAGAGCGATTTTCTATTTCCTTTTATTCAGTTTTAGAAGACTTTGTTTCTACAAATTTTTCTTTTTCTTCCAGATTGTTGGCATACACTTGTTTGTAATATTTAGTTATAATCCTTTGTATTTCAGTTGTTACTTCTCTTTAATTTTTAGTACACAAACCTCTTAATTTTTATGAAGTTCGATTTATCTGCTTTTTCAGTTTGTGCTTTTGGTGTCATGCCTAAGAAAGTATTGCCAAATCTAAGAGTATGAACATTCACACCTATGTTTTCTTCCAAGAATTTTCTATTTTTAGCTCTTAGGTTTTTTATCCTTTTTTTAATTTTTTAAAAAATCCTCACCAGAGGATATGTTTTTATTGATTCTAGAGAGAGGAGATATGAGAGAGAAACATCAATGTGAGATACCTTGATCAATTGCCTCCCATACACACCCCAACCAGAGATCAAACCTGCAACCTAGGTATGTACCCTGACCGGAAATCGAACCCAAAACCTTTTGGTATTCGGAACGATGCTCCAACCACCTGAGCCACTGAGCCAGGGCTTTGAGTTAATTTTTATATGATTTGGAGGAAGTGTCAACTTCACTGTTTTACAAATGTCTATCAAGTTGTCCTAGTACTTTTGGAGAAGAAACTATTTCCCCATTGCACTGTTTTGCATTTTTATCAGAAATTATTTGACCATAGACATGTTAGTTTTTGTACACTCAGTTCTATTCCATTGATCTAGACATCTGCCAGTACCATCCTGTCTTCATTACCATTTCTTTGAAGTAAGTTTTGATACCAGGAAGTGTGAGTCTCTATTTTTTTCCTTTTTAAAACTTTTGTCTATTCAAGATCCCTTGCAGTTTTATATGAGTGTTAGGATAAGGTTGTCCATATTGTGGGGAAGAAAAAAAAAGACTTGGAATTTTGATAGTGATTACATTGAATTTGTAGATTGCTTTGGTTAGGTTATTATCATCTTAGCAATATTAAGTCTTCCAATACATATCCTTTTGATATTCATTTGTAATATGATTCTGTTGTGGTAAGATAAAATACTTTGTATGATTTCATTGTTATTAAGTTTATTCATACTTGTTTTGTGGCCTAACATATGGTCTATTATGAAGAATGTTCCATATACACTTGAGATGAATATATGTTCTGTAGTTGGACAGAGTGTTTTATGTCTCTTATGCCCAGTTAGTTTATAGGAAATGCTGTCTTCTGTTTCCTTGTTGATCTTCTGACTAGGTTTCCTACCTATTATTGAATGTGGCGTGTTGAAGTCTGCAACTGTTACTGTAGTCTTTATTTCTCCCTTGAATTCTGTCAATTTTGAATTTATATATTTTCGAGCTCTGTTGTCAGGTACATATATGTCTCTAATTGTTATATCTTCTTGAAGTTACGTTATTATTATTAAGTAATATCTTTCTTTGTGTCTTACATCAATTTTTGTCTTAAAGTGTATTTTGCCTGAAATTAATATAGCTATACAATCTCTCTTTTGGCTGCTGTTTAACTTATTTGGGGTTTGTTAAGCTTCTTGGTTGTGTATATTTGTGTTTTTCATCAAATTTGGTTAAGTTTTTAGCCATGATTTCTCAAATATTCATTTTTACTTCATTCTCTTCTCTACTTAAGGAACCTCCATTATGTGTATGTTGGTATATTTGAGGGTATCCCACAGGTTCTTTAGGCTCTGTTCATATATTTTATTCTTTTTTTTCTTTCTATTGTTCGGACTAGGTGATATAAATTATCCTATCTCATGGAAGTTATGTTGTGTGGCTACCCACCATGTCCTGTCCAGTTAGGAATTTATGATTTATTACAGCACCCCTTTTTCATTTACAAAAGGAATATGAAGGAGCTATTCAAAATTTCCCAAACCATCTTATTCCACACTTTTTCTCCCAAGTTTTCGGTTAGTCTTTTGTTTTCTTCTACTGTTTTCCCTTGCTTAGGGGGTGATGGCTGATATATTTGCCTTAAATGTGTTTAACACACTTAATAGGTAACCAGCTCAGCCTTGGAGAGTTTGGGGTTAGAAAAATGAAGGTAAGCCCTCTGAGCCAAACCTACAGAAAGGTCTAAACAATCATAGTTCCTTGAGATAATGGTCCATTCTGTTCCTTCCAGTAATAGGAATGTGGGCTGCTGTCTTCAAGGTCATGCGAAAGCAGGGAATAGAGGATGAGTCCAAGATCAGTTAAAATGACGGCTGTTTTTTTCCTTGATTAAGCATTTTCATGGTTGATGTAATCTTTTGATAAATCTCCAGAGTTCTAATAAAGTTGGTTCTGATAGTTTTTGCCAATTTATTCACTGCTTTTGTAGACGGATGGGTTTTTGGAGTTTAGTATTCCTTATTTTCAATGTCATAACTCCTCACAAGTCTTTCTTAAACACTTCTATGTTCCTGGGTCTGTGCTAGATTTAGGAGTATGGTGATGAATGAGACAGACATGTTCTTTACCCTCACAGAGCTTTCTGACTAATGCCTTCCCTATGAACTAAATGTATCTGTTTCTTACCCTGACTTCATATCTCCATATTTAAAAGTTTTAGAGTTTCTGAAGTTTGGCATGGGCTTTGGGACTACAGTTGAAATAACACAGGTTTGAACTCTATGGGTCCATTTATACATAGATTTTTTTCAATAAACAGAGAGTTGGCCCCTTGTACCCCGGCTTCACATCTGACAATTCAGTCAACCACAGATCAAAAACAGTATTTTTGATCCATGGGTTGGGAAATTGTGAATGTAGAGAGGCTACTATATACATTGTTCTATGCCATTTTATATGAAGGACTTGAGCATCTGTGGATTTTGGTATCCACAGGGGGTCCAATCATTCCTGTGGATACCAAGGGACAACTAAAGTTTTGGGGGAGTCCAATTAAATGCAGAGTTTTGACTGTGTAGGTAGTCAGCAACCCTAATCCCCTCATTCAAGGGTCAGTGGTATTTATGTCCTGTCACCTGGATATTGAGTGAGGATGCTTGTATTTTTTTTCTTGAGAGTTATAATATTCATTAGAATTTAGGTGTAATTATTCCACTGCTCCAAAAGTCACACTTGGCCATCTTTAGAATTGGTGGGTTCACCCTAGCCAGTTTTGCTCAGTGGTTAGAACATCGGCCCGAGAAGGGTCCCAGTTTGAATCTGGCCAAAGACACGTACCTTAGTTGCTGGCTTGATTCACTGCCTGGGTCAGGGCTTGTACTGGAGGCAACCAATCAATGTGGCTCTCTCACATCGATGTTTATCTCTCTCTCCCACTCTCTCTGAAAAGCAATGGAAAAAATATCCTCAGGTGAGGATTTAAGAAACAAAAGTAGAATGGGTGGCTTCAGTTTCATGGAGTTGTCACCTGCATAGTTCCCCTTCATTGTGTCTTTTCTCCATGATTAGGGTATCATGTTGATAAAGTCAGCCTAATCTCTCAGTTGGAGCAAGAAGACAAGGTGATGACAGAGGGGAGACGAATTCTCCCAAGCATTTGTCCAGGTGAGCATCAGGTGGATATGAGTCCTTGTGAGGAGTAGCTGTGACCAGTGATTTGGGACATGGGAGTATTACATTAAGAAATATCAATCAGAGAACTTTGTAAAATGTCCTTTTCTTTCGATGAAGATGGCCAAGAACATTTGGTCTGAGCTTCCTCGTGTGCTGTTTTTTTCCTTTTAACTTTCTGTTCAACATCTCATACTTTGGACTCAGAAGTTAAAAGAAAGAGAAGTCTCTTTTTTATTTTAAGCCTTATATGAGCCTTTTGTCCAATTTCTTTCTGCTTTACATCCTGATAATTCCCTCTTTTGTAAATCTCTAATAAATCTTAATCCTTCTAGAATCCTTTTTTAAAACCTACCATTTGCATACTCATGTCCCTTTCACTGCAAACCTCCTCAAAAATCCTAATCCTTCAGAGTCTAGCTTTACCTATGTGTGTACTTTCTATTTCTCTTCTCCATCAACTTAAATTTCTTTTCAATTTGTTTCAGATTTGGAGACTATACTTAAAGCCAAATGGTTAACCCCTAAGAAGCATATTTTTAGGAAAAAGCATTCTAATGATGTAAAAGCGGTAAGACTAACATGGTTGATTCTTGGTTTTTCACAGTAGAAGAATTCACTAAGTTAGAAAAGCCACAAAATAAAAAGGAGCGTCATTAAGAGAAAGTATCATTTACACAGGAGAAAATGGTGTCTCTGAAGAGATAGTGAGAAAAAATTGTGAATTTGAAGAAAATTATGTTAGCTTCAGACTTGTTTTTTTCACTGAGGGTTTCCACAAGTAAATTATTTCCTTAAATGTGACTAAGATATTGTCTGTTGAATCATAAAGCGGTCTTAAATTTATCAAAAAATGCTCTGTGAGGATGATAAGGACTTGCGGCAAAGCATGTATCTTTTTGAAATTCTAAGAGCTCAAACTGGGCAGAAGTCATATACAGGCACTGAAATTGGAAAACATCAAATATAATAACATAATTCCTGGGAGGGAGAATTTTTAACAACACTGAATATTAAAAATTTTATAAATTATAGTTATTTATCTGTTTATCAACAGGAAAGAAATCATGTTGGAATGAAACTTAATGAATGTAATCAGTGTTTTAAAGTCTTCAGCACAAAATCTAACCTTACTCAGCACAAGAGAATTCATACTGGAGAAAAACCCTATGACTGTAATCAATGTGGAAAATCCTTCAGCAGTAGATCTTATCTTACTATTCATAAGAGAATACATAATGGGGAGAAACCCTATGAATGCAATGACTGTGGGAAAGCCTTCAATGATCCCTCATCTCTCAGACTGCATGTAAGAATTCACACTGGAGAAAAACCTTATGAATGTAACCAGTGTTTTCATGTTTTCCGTACTAGTTGTAACCTCAAAAGCCACAAGAGAATTCATACGAGAGAAAATCATCATGAATGTAATCAGTGTGGAAAGGCCTTCAGCACGAGGTCCTCCCTTACTGGGCACAATAGCATTCATACAGGGGAGAAACCTTATGAGTGCCGTGATTGTGGGAAAACCTTTAGGAAGAGCTCGTATCTGACACAGCATATGAGAACTCATACTGGAGAAAAACCCTATATGTGTAATCAGTGTGGCAAATCCTTCAGCAGTAGCTTTTCTCTTACTGTGCACAAGAGAATTCATACTGGGGAGAAACCCTATGAATGCAGTAACTGTGGGAAAGCTTTTAATAATCTCTCAGCTGTTAAGAAGCATGTGAGAACTCACACTGGAGAAAAACCCTATGAATGTAATCATTGTGGAAAATCTTTCACCACTAACTCTTACCTTTCTGTGCATAAGAGAATACATAATAGGTGGATTTGAATACAGTAACTGGGATAGCATTCATTGATTTCTTATCCCTCAGACAACTTCCTGTAATTCATGCTAGGTGTATGAGTTACCTGTTGCTGCATAACAAATTTCTCTAAAACATAGTGGCTTCAAATAACATTTATTATCTCACAATTTCTGTAGGTCAGAAGTTCATAAATGGCTTAATTTTGTAGTTTTGGCTCAGGATCTCTCATGAGGGCACAGTCAAGATTGTCAGCAGGAGCTACAGTCATTTGCATTTTTACTGCTGAAGACTGCTTTCAAAATGGCTCACTCACATGCCTGGAAAGTTAGTGCTGGATGTTGGCAGGGAATCTTAATTTCTTCATCATGTAGGACTCTCCATGGGCCTAAATATCTTTATGATGTAGCAGTAGGTTCCATCCAAAGGATTTGATCTAAGGGAGAGCAAATGCCAAAGCCATGTTGTTTTTTATAACTAGCCTTGGAAGGACATATCACTTCCATATTGTATTGGACACACAGACTGATCCTGATAGTGTGGAAGTAGACTACACAAGTAGTATATACCAGAGGAGTGAGATCCACAGGAACCACCTCAGAAGCTTGTCACGAAGTCAGTGAAGAAAGGCCTTCAGCCTTTCAATCTATTTGATATGAAGTATCATTCAGCAACTCTCATGTTAATTCACTCTGGAGAAAAACCTCATGAGTGCAGTCTTTGTGGTAAGCTTCCATCTCAAACTCACCTTAATGTGCACAGAAGGTGATGTACTGGGGAGAAACCCAAGGAATGTGGTAGGTCTAGGAAGGCCTTCAGCGATACCTCTGTGGAGTCATGTGACAATTCATACTAAGAGTAAAACCTTATAAATATCAGAATGCAGAAAACTTCAGGAACACTCATCCCTTAGAATACATGTGAGAAATCACTACAGAGAAACACTCATATAACGAATGTGAAAACCCTACAGCACAAACATTCATATTACTGAGCAAAAGATAGATATTCTGAATGCAATGGGAAAGCCTTGATGTTCTCTCAGTTTTTGAGAGAGATGAGGATTTATTCTGGGGAGAAAGTCCTATTAACTATCATCAGTACTAGAAAATCTTCCTTTTTCCCATTCTTAGGAAACTCAGAACTCACTGCAAAGAATCCTATGAATATAAAGATTGAGGGAATGCCTTTAATGATACCTTTTACATTAGGAAAAATGCAAAATTCTCCCTGGATGCGAAACTTGTTAGTGTAATAATTTTGGAAGATTTTTCTATGATTCTTGTCTTTGTTGACTTGTGAGAACTCACACTAGAGGGAGACCCTAGGAATATAATCAACACAAGGATGCCTCAGCCTCACCTCTTCACTGAATAGCCACAAAATAATTTAAACTGAGAATGGAAACTGTAAACCTTATGAATGTGGCATATTACCTTTAACAGTGTCTAATCCTTAGGTTGATCCATTAGCTCATTAATTTTCAGTTGTTTTGTTTTAGTATAAACATTTACGTCTATAGCTATACCCTAAAATAAACCTGATGTTATGTTCCATAATTTGGTAAGTAATATGTTTATCATTTACTCTTTTAAAATATCAATACATGACAAAGGTATTTCTGAATATCCCCTAAGTAACTTAGTTTATCATAATGAAACTAACACTATATGTGCTGTATACTTTTAATTTAATGGCATTTTTGTCAAGTAAGTGGACTTTATGATGTTCTTTGTTATCTTTATATCCTAGTATGGCAGTTACTTTTTGCTTCTTCCACAATGCCCATTCTCCCCTACTTATTCACTTAAAGAAAAAAACATTTTGTTCAAATTGTACAAATTGAGTATTGAAAATACTCAATATGTAAAGCTTCCCTGAAGCCCAGAGATGTGTTGACCTGCTATGTTGGCCATAAGAAGTAGATAGAAGTCATTGGGGGGAACATCATCTGGCTTGTTCACCTTACCTATATTCTATTCATCTTAACTATTTTTGCTCTTGAATGTGGGCTCAATTGGAAGAGCTATATTTTTATTATGATGACAGAAAAAAAAATTCTCAATGATGTGGGCTCCCCAGAAGATTCTGGTTGGCTGTATCAACTCTGGATTACTTATTCTTAGGCTTCTCCTTACATGATTAAAAGTAACCTCTGAGTGGTTGGAGCTAAAGTGATGTTGGGGGGTTGTTTTTTGGGGGGTGTTGTGTTAGTATCCAGCTGAATGCAACATCTAACTGGTAAACTTATTGGTCAGATTTTATAAATGTTCCATATTTGTTTGAAAACATTATACATTCTGTAATTTTTAAATATAGAGTATATGCCCATTTACTCAAGCTAATTGTTTTTTGATATAGTATGCATGTTCAGAGTCTTTCCCTCAGACATATATAGTGATAGATGTGTATTCAAGTCTTCCATTTTGGTTACAAATTAACATTCATCTTTGTAATTTTGTTACTTTTATTTTTTGATGTAATGTAACTAAGCAATAGGATTAGTTGTTTTCCTGTAAATTGCTTCTTTTTATGTAGGGACCATATTTTTATAGCCAAGATTTCAGTACATTAATAAATGATCAGGCATTTATATGGCTTTTTCCATATACCGGATACTCTTCTGAATGCCTTACGAATATTAACTTACTGAGCATTCGATGTAAGCTTCAAAAGTATGTGCTATTAATATCCCAATTTTACAGATGAGAAAACTGTTATAATACATTTATGCTACTTGCCTGAGTTCACTGGCTAGTGAATGATAGAGCCCAGATTTCAGCCCAGACAGTCTGTGAACTTAACCACTGGCCTGTTTATTGAATATATTCTATATGCCAAACTGTTTGAGGCACCGGTGTCTGTAGCAATGAATGAAATCAGAGCTTTGTCCTTGAAACATATCCTAATGGGAGAAAAACAGATTGTAGAAAAATCAAGAAAATATGTTGTTGTGTTATATGAAAAACCAAAGCATTGTAAGATGGCTAAAGGGGTTTTGGATCTTGTTTTTTTCATATAGAATAGGAAAGGAAAGCCTCTTAGTTAAGGAGCACTTGAACAGAGATCTTAATAAGTTGGGACAGTGAATCATGCAAATTTGTGTGGCAAGAGCAGTGTTGACATGCAAAGGCCAACCACATGGAAGCCAGTGTGAATGGAGTAGAACAAGTTGGTTATGTTGAAAGACTGGTAGAAGGTAATGTGGTCAGACTTAATAGATTTTCTTGTTGGGTATTATGGGTCATTGTTAGGACTTTTCCTTATAGTTTCAGTGTGTTGGCATATCGGTCAGAGTCCCAGCAGGAAACAACTGACACACTCAGACTAGAACAATTTGAGTAGAGTTTTCATAAAAGGACTACTCATAGAGTTGTAGATAGGATAGAGAAAAACCACAAAGGGTGGTTGGTTCTCAGCAGTTGGTAAGGGCAGGGCTCTATTAACACCTGAACAGGCAAGCAGAGGGAACAAGTTATTGAAATCTGGAGACAAGAGAGAGGTACATTCCAGGAGCAAAGATGTCAGGAGTAGCATCCAGCCCCAAGTTCTGCAAAAAATAGCCAGAGCAAAACTTCATTTTCTTTCATTCTTTTGATTGAATGCCTAGGCTCCTCAGAAAGCCCACTAATATAGTTTATCTTGACTAACCTTCCTGGGTGCAGCAAGATGGAGAAAGTGGATCCATTGGGGCAAATGGAAGAAGTGGGAACACTTCCACAATCAGACAAAGTAAGAGACCCATTGAACTTTATGACTGCTATAAGACAAGCACACAAGGAAAGAAGTCACCATGGCTTCTGCCGTGGGTAATTAATCCTGCCGCCTAAAGGATGTGGGATTTCTGTTATACATTGAGGACAGAGGAAACATTTGGCACTTGGGTGATCATTGGGATATCTTTTGATATCTTTCCCAAATTTGGTTGATAAGCAAGTATAGCAGCTGTATCCTGAGAAAGACATGGGGACTGGGTGTTTTTGGATCATCCCTCCAAGTAGGCCACCCAGACCAGCTAGCCAAGCATGAAGGGAATCTAGAATGGTATAGTAGAGGAGTGACAAGAGGTATCAATTGCAGCATTGAGAAAAGCTGCTAAGAGCTGTCAGTTTGTCCCAGTGATCCTACTTTAGGCAGCAAGACCAACTATAATGTGCTGTGCACTTAACATTAAGAAGCAAGTGCATCCAACCTAAGGACATGGACAGTGGTGTGGAGAGGGACTGGGGAGCCGAGGGAAGGGATGGAATGAGTCATTGGGGAGAAAAATGGACATCTGTAATATTTTAAACAAAAAAACACACGCAAAAGCAAGTGCATCTGAGCAGTTTAAGTGGTGGACCATAATGGATACAATGGTGTATTTCTCATATTCTTTTTTCAGGGCTAAGTCATTCACTCCCCCAGCTGATGGAAGTGTTGGCTGCTAAAGCTCATGCTGCTATCCTCTCTGGGAATTCCCTTGGGCCAAAGGAAAGTGTCACACCTAAGGTTATGGCCACTCCCTGGGGCAGCCCACTTCCAATGACTGGACCGTTAGGAGTACAAATGCCCAATTCCTTTTGCATCAATTTGAGACACTCCTAAAGAGCCACTCCAGCTCCATGAAATCAGCTGTACTCTGTTTTTAATAATGCAATCTCTTACTCTTCCTAATCCTAGTTTTCTCCTTTAGAGATACTCCTCAATAAAGTCCATTATGCAAAATTTCCCCTGGACCTAAGCTCACACTATCAAGTAATCTCATTTTGATGAGAGGCTGGCAGAGACAAGGGAGAACATGAAATGAGTTGTGAAAGAAGGCTGCCAGAGCTGGTACAGAAGCAGGAACAGAAGGCAACTATATTTTTAGTTAATTGTCCTTTTTTCCCACTTATCCCCATGGGCCTTCTTTCCTCCCTCCATCTTATGTAAAAACAAAACAAAACACTAGTTGTACCAAAACGTTTCAGGTTTCTAGTACAAGTACAGCCAAATTGATATTACCCTAAAGTAATACAGTTGATGGGCTTCCTTTGTATCTTGTATGAGAACATGAACTTATCACTAGATGAAGTACAAGACTTGATGTCAAGCTGAAGGAGAGTAGACATTGTTGAGTATCTTCCATATATTCTTCCAGATCCTTCTTCACCTTGCTCTGTGACTAGAGAGGTTAACCTGTATGGACTACTTTAATGGGCCCATTGCCTTTGTGCTTCTATTTAAGTTGGTCATTGGGGAGCCCAGGTAGGATATTAGAGGGATGTAGCAGAGTGAGGTCATGCCCTGGCTATTCCTACAGGAAAATTGGAGTCTGGATGCTATCCTTGACCTCTTCTCAGCCCTTGTTTTGCAGTTCTGTCTACTATGTCCTCAGATTTCAATAATGGGTCCTTCATCTCACCTCTTCTAACTTGCTCTTCCAGTCACCAACTATGCAGTATCCCTCTTTGGTTTTCCTACTGCCTAGTCCCTTTAACACGATTGTTCTGATTTAGTGATATGTCAATGCACTGAGAGTATAATGAGAAGCTCTTACCACTTCCTAGAAGGCCCCAAACAATCAGGATCTTCTACATCACTAACCTCACATCCCAACACTCCTGTTTTTCTTCCTCTACTATACTCACACTGGTCTTGCTGTGTTTTAGTGCCCCAGCCCAGCTCTGCATCAGGATCTCTGTACTACCTAGACGGATATTCCCCCACATAGCCACATGGACCACTCTCACAATTCACCTAGGTCTCTGTTCAAATGTCCTCTGAGCTGAGACGCTTTCCCATCTCTAAATAAGTGAGTGTCTCCAATTCCCACATTTCTTAACACATTTACTGGGAATTATTTTGCTCAAAAGCACCATATGACCAACTCTCTTTATTAATTTGTTTGACTAATATTCTCCATCCCAACCCCACTAGGATGTAAACACAGTGAAGGCAAGGACGGATTCATCACTGTAGATCCTGTGCTGCAAGCTGTACCTGGTACAGAGGCAGTGCTCTATAGTATTGGGATTAAGAGTATTCATTCTGGAGAGAGACTAGACTCTACCAGTTAGGCAAGTAACAAATTTTTTGTGGCAAAGTTTTCTCATCTGTAAAATGAGAACAATGAGAGCTCTACTTTGTAGACTAGTATTGAGAGTTTAGTTAGTTAATCTTTGTAAAGCACTTATGAGGCTTCCTGGTATATAGGAAACATTTATTTCATCTTTTATCATGAATTAAATAAAGTTCATTGTAGGATTATACGAAGCAAAATAAGATACACACAAAGGAGTATGTATTGTATATTCTGTTTGTATGAATATTAAGGATAGGCAAAAATACTCTGTGAGGGGAAAAAATTAGAACAGTGGTTACAGCTAAGCTTAGGTTATGGGGGAGCAAGTGAGGCAGGAGCAGGACTGAAGGAACTTTATGGGGTGAAGATAATGTTTTATATTTTGAAAGGAGTGTAGGTTACATAGGTGTGTGCATCAAAATACGTTTAACTGTACACTTAAGTTCTGTACATTGAACTGAATGTAACTTACACCTCAGTTTAAATCAGATTCATTTTGCTAAGTTAAGCCAAAAGCCATTTACTATACGATTCTGTTATATCACATCTGGAAAAGGCTGAAACTTCAGGGAAGGACAACAAATCAGTGGTTTCCAGGGGTAAGGAGTAAGAGAGGGGGATGACTACAAAGCAACAACACAAAGGAATCTGAGAGTGAAGGAACTGTTCGGTCATGATTGTACTGATATTCATGCATGTATCATGTTCAGTCTTGACTGTGTTAATGGATATACAACTCTGTGCATTTGCCAAGACCTATAGAATTGTACACCACAAAGAGTGGTTATTAATGTAGGTTAAAAGAAATAATCTGCCAGCTGGTGTTGCTCAGTGGCTGCGTGTCGACCCATGAACCTGGAGATCATGATTGGATTCCCGGTCAGGGCACATGTCCAAGTTGTGAGCTCAATTCCCAGTAGGGGTCGTGCAGGAGGCAGCCGATCAATGACTCATCTTTGATATGTCTGCTGCCTCTCCCTCTTTTTGAAATCAATAAAAATATTTTTTTTTTTAGAAAAAAAAAGAAAAAGAATCCACCAGGTAGTGGAGGGAATGAAAAATGGAATACAAACTATAACAAATAAACCTAACTATATTACAAATTAATAACATAACCACAATGAAGGG